CCCAAAACAAATTAATACAACCATTGCATACTTGCTGCCAGGGGTAACAAAGCACTTCAACTTCAACTCAAGGGTATTTAGCTTGGGTTGAACTCAACATAACTATTTGACTTCAACAAATGTTAAGAAGAGGTGCTGGGACCAAGCAAAAAGATCAGCTTAACCGAAGATCAACTTAACTCCTTATCTCTAGCAAGCCGCTCCCAGCTGCTCACGGTTGGACTGCTGTGCTTGTGGGCTGCTGGCAGCATCTCAGGCACATTCCTTTACGACGTTTTCCACGTCACATTACAGGTCTCTTTTACTTAATGGGAGTTCATTCATTAGATAAAGAGCTATCGAAATAGGTTCACTAGTTTTGTTTGACCAATTTAATGACATATGTCAATTTTAGATTTTGTACCCCCCAAAAAAAGGCTCCAGCATAGTGGGTTTTATCCCCCTCGGAGATAAAGAGTTAAGCGACTTCAACACAAGTGGAGTCAACTGTGAAATAATAAATACCTTCCACCTCAAGACAATGTACAGGGACTTTTCTTTCATCTATCAATTTAAAAAGTACTGGAAGCAAAAAAATAGAGTACCCATGCAAACTCGAACATGCATAGAATAAAACTAAAATTCCTGGAACTAACATTTCTGTTACCACTTTTCCTCTGTTATAAGTTATACATTCTTTGCATTTATTTCACACAAAACGTGACCCAAGATGAGCACAGCAGAAGTGTCAATGTCGTTGTAGACATGATATAATCAGGCTTTTTAACCCTAGCTGAGACTAGAAGCTTGCCTCACAATTTGTGTCAAGACGCGGTGGAATCAGGCGCTCGTCAATTTTTGAGCATGTGGAGTTTTTGGTATTATCTTAAAGCCTGTTCTTTTATCTTGCTTTAGATGAAAAAAAATACCCATCTATCTGGAGCAGAAGTAAAGGCATTTGTGATTGAAAGAGATAAGTTCACTTGGTTTCAGCGGTAAAAACAGCTAGAAAATAGCCGCCAAAATTTGGTAACTTCAATAGCTAAAGATTCCTTAAAAACTGAAAAATTACATATTTTGAGCTTTTAAACGTTTTCCAATACAATTCACATGGAAATGTGTTTTTATTTGGACATAAAAGGGTTGAACAAAAAACCAAAAATTTGATTTAAAATGCAAAACTGGTGGGAAAATGCCTGCTTCTCCAATTTTGTTATTTTGAAGAGCACCTGATTTCACCAAGATGCCTCACAATTTAATGTCTAACAAAGCAAACAACTCACGAGTTATAAATAATACAAGGAATAATAGTATAAATTTTGGTGGCAAGCGACACATTGAGTTTGAGCAACATTGCTTGAGTTTTAAGAAAAAAAGGTAAAACGGGCATGGCTCCAAACACACAAGTGTTATCTGTTCTTTACTGTAGAAACTTACTGAATATAGCATTCCAATTACATCTGCATAAAGGAGCATACGGTGGTTCCAAAATGTGCCCAGCACCTGGATAAGTGATAAACTCCACGTTCTTGTGAAACTCTGAAGAAATGCGCTTTTTCAGGAGCTTTGTTATTGCTGGATTCACACACTGATCATCCTCCCCCTGAATAAAGAGAAACTTGCCTCCGTGTCTCCAGGCCTAAAGAAAAACAAGTGTAAAAGGACAAATCTTTTACATTTCTTCACTGCAATAAAGAGATGATGAAATCAAATTACTAGAAATTGAACACCCTCAGGCAAAATTTGCAACCACAAAGAGCAGAATGCCACTGAGAATGTTAGCGGATTATGCGAAAAGAAAATTGTACCCGTAAATCAGTATTCAGTAAAAGTTACCCTACTTGACCCCCCCCCCCCCCCCCCCCCCCCCCCACACACACACACCAACCCCTTGACAGAAAAAAAAAATTGATCAAAAAAATAAGATAAAAGTAACTAGTTGTATATAACCTGAAAGAGACCCCAAACATCATAATCAACAGGAAAAAAAAAAAATTGAGAGACCATACCAAAAAAAAGTAAAACAAAACAAACCTCTGGTGACTTCATTTCATCTTCAGCTTCAAACATGGTCCGAAATGATACCATATCTTCCACTTTTGATATTTTGTCAAATTTGAACTTGACTGGCTTCACATTTCTTCCTTCCACTTGTTGAGTACGTCCTATTGGGAAACCCGTTCCATTTATAGAAACCAGACACTTCATCTGAGTTGGGTGGAAATAAAACAATTATACATTCTTCAAAGTACATCAAAAACGACCACATAGTAAATTAGTTCATATAGCTCAGGGGACACCATTCTTGGGGGGTCGCGAGATCATTGAGGATTTTGTTTTTAAATGACACACTGAAAACTAAAATATGGCTCTTTTTCTTTTCTTGACAACTTTCAAAGTACGGTTCCCTTTTCAATTGGCTGAAATGAAAGAAAAGGTAAACACCTCTTCAATTGGCTGAAATAAGAAAAAGGGTAAACACCTGAACTTCTAAACAAGGCCAGAGAAACAACAAGGCTACCCCAGTTTACAATGCCTGTCTTTGTAGGACAATCATAGGTTTGGTTTGCAGAGTTTTCTTTTGTTTCAATGTATAATATAGCCCCCTCGCTATAGGCCAACGCACAATAGCTTGAGGCCTCGTTTATGATGAGCTACACGAGTGCTGGCCTCGGAGAAGAGGGTCATAGGGGGAAGCATGGTAGTCATGCATATTATTTTCATCAGCATGAAGCAAGCTTAAAAAAAGAAGATTTGACTCCAGGGGACAATTTCAACTACAAGGTGTGTCGAGCTTAGGGGCTTCATTTTGCGGTGCTTTGGAAATAGCAAAACAAAAGAAACCACACACAACTGGAGATACACTTATAAAGCCTTGCACAATAAAAATGGCACAGCTGATGCTAGGTGAGGCTAGTGCAAAGAAATTGCAGCAAGTTCCCCTTTCAAATGATACTGTCAAGAGGCGTATTGCACATAAGTCTTCAAACATTAAGGAAAAGGTTGTAGAGGAGATCAAAGCTTCCCTCATGTCCTCGTTCCAGTTTGACGAATCAGTTGATGTGGCATCGTGGTCACAGTTACTGATCTTTGAAAAATATGTGAAAGAAGAATTTTTATTTTGCACCCCAACAGCTAACGATATCATGAACAAGGTATCCTCATTTTTTTTAAAAAGAGGGTCTTGAGCGGACTAATGTGTTTGGTATTTGTACTGATGGAGCCCCAGCCTTGAAGGGATCTAAGTCGGGCTTTCTGGCAAAAGTGAAGGACAAAGCACCGCACGCAAAAGACATTCACTGCATGATACATAGATATATGCACTAGCTTGCAAGGCTCTCAGTCCCACTTTGAAGGAAACGTTGGAATCGACTGTTAAGATTGTCAACTATGTGAAACGTAGCCCCCTAAATACACGACAGTTCAAGGAACTCTGTTCTGACATGAGTCATCATCATCAATGCCTTTCACCCCTGGCAGGGTACAGGCCACATGCAGGCTCCTTCCATTTATCTCTGTCCTGGGCCATCCTTCCAAGCTCGTTCCAAGTTAGCTTCATCTCTCTCATGTCCCTTTCCACGCATCTCCTCCATGTTTCCCGTGGCCTACCCCTGCCTCGTGCTCCTTGTGGGTTCCACTGCAGCGACTGTCTTGTGATGTTTCCGCAGGGCTTTCTTAAGGTGTGTCCCATCCATCGCCACTTTCTTAGTCCTATTTCTACTTCTATATCCTTTTGTCCTGTCCTTTCCAACAGCTCTTCATTTCTTATTCTATCCTGCCACTTAATTCTTAGAATACTCCTCATAAATCTGTTGATGAAAGTCTGGACTTTATTCCGTAGGCCTACTGTCTTTGTTGTCTTTCAAGTTTCGCAGCCGTAGAGGAGCACAGACTTGACGTTGGAGTTAAAAGAGTCGAACCTTGGTGCGCAGTGAGATGTTGCTTTCTTTCCAGACTTTTGATAATTGATTGAATGCTGACCTTGCCTTGGCGGTTCTTGCTTTAACATCTGCCTCGGTTCCGCCTTTACCATCGATGACACTTCCAAGGTAGGTAAAGGAGTCCACTTCTTCCAGGGGAGTGTCTTCCACTGTCACAGCAGGGCTTGAAATTTGTCCTAGCTTCACTACTTTTGACTTGCCTGGATGTATATGTAGGCCAACACTCCTTGATAAGCTGTTGAGTTCCTTTCTGACTTGAGTGCAGATCATGAAACATTGCTTTTCTACACTCAAGTTCGATGGTTATATAAAGGAAACGTTGTACGTCGGGTCCTCGAGCTGAGAGAGGAGATCAAGTTCTTCCTGGAAGTGCAAGGAAAAGATGAGCTCAGCAGGCACTTCTCAAATGATAAGTGGATCCAAACACATTTCTGATATGTTTGACAAGATCTACCTCAACAAACTCAACTTGAAACTTCCGGGTCAGCAGACACACTTTCTACAGTTTAAAGACGTTCTGGGTGGCTTTCTTTCAAAAGTTCAGAATTGGCACCGGAAAGTTACAGTGGGAAACATTTCTATGTTTGCCAACCTTTCACAGCTGTTAAATCCAGAGGCGACCTTGTCTGCTGATCATCAAGTTGGCATTGCTGCACATTTGAAATCACTTGAAGATGAGTTCAAGAACTATTTTCCTGACCTTGACTGGGGTGAAGAAGCTCTTATGAGAAACCCTTTCACTCCTGGACTAGACATCACTGTCATTGCAGATGTCATCCAAGACGAGCTTTTGGACTTGAGATTTGATTCGTCAGCACGCAACACATTTCTGGAGAAATCTCTTGCACAGTTTTGCTGTTCAATCCAGGAATCATAATCTCAGGTCAGCAAAACAGCACTTCGAGTTATTGTCCCATTTACCTGGACTTAAATTTACGAAAGTGGATGTTCTACCCATGTCCAGCTCAAGACTAAAGCAAGGAACAAGCAGGATGTTGTTGATGATATGCGCCTTGCTTTATCCAAGCCTTCCCCGAGAGTTTCAAGACTGGTCACTGAACAGCAGACAGAGCCCTCTCACTAGTTTAAAAAAAAGTGTGTGTGTGTGTGTGTGTGTGTGTGTGTGTGTGTGCGTGTGCGTGTGCGTGTGTGTGTGTGTGTGTTCTCTCCTTTTTCTTGATTGGTATTTGCTTGAAATAATGAGTGATTTGAAACTTCAAAGGTACAGTTATTGTTCTGTATTAACTATGTAATGTAGGCCTTATTAATTGTCTGCTGCTGGGTTGTACACATTGGGGGGGGGGGGGGGG